ATTTGACCTGTTCCACCTGCAATGCAGCTTGCGCATTTCACAGGCGCATCATGAACTTCATGACGATGATGTCGTCCGAAGTCCTTGTTGGACGTACCGACTTGGCCTACGGAACCAGGGTTCCTCGGATGTCTTGGATCTTCGAGGGCAATCCGAATCTGTATCAAAGAATAGTAATCCATAGCGCTCGTATGGCCAAGCCCATATTGCATTATCAGTATCATGCCACATATCATATATTTTGCGTGAAGCTCGCGCTGTGAATGCTGATACATGTTGATACACTGTACGTACACACACATACACAAAATTACAAATACATGTTTGTGCATACCTGTGCAAATCAACTATGATATATCAAAACAGTGAAAAAATCACACACAGATATACATAATTAAAGGGCTACGCCCTCTGCCGCCGACCCCTGGAGAAGCATGCCTAATGTTGCTTTCTGAACCTACAAGAAAACTAGCTCTCTGAGCTGTGTTCCAGCCGCCTGCCTAACGTTGCTTTTTGAATCGACAAGAAAACTAGCTCTCTGACCTGTCTTCCAGCCACTTGTTGCTTCCTGGCTTCTTGTTTCTTGCTTCTTGCCGCTTGTTGCCTGTAATTGCTTCTTGCTTCTTGCTTCTTCTTTCTTGTTTTCTTGCTTCTTGCCCTAGCTGCTTGTAATGACTTCTTGGCCCTTGCTGCTGGTAATTCCTCCTCTGACGCGCTCCCGCTGCTGCAAGCGGGGTCGGCGGATAATTGATATATTCTAATATAATATATAACAGAATAGAATAGAATATAATATAATATAAGTTACGTCGCAATCCAACGAAACAAAAGGTGGACTTCGAATTGAACCGCTGCAGGAGAAGCAGGGCTTTGAGGGACGGACCGGGCCTGCGGGCCACGGCTCTGACTGCCTAACAAGAAAACTAGCTCTCTGAGCTGTCTTCCAGCCGCCTGCCTAACTTTCTGAATCGACAAGAAAACGAGCTTTCTGACCTGTCTTCCAGCGGCTTGTTGCTTCCTGGCTTCTAGTTTCTTGCTTCTTGCCGCTTGTTGCCTGTAACCGCTTCTTGCTTCTTGCTTCTTCTTTCTTGTTTTATTGCTTCTTGCCCTAGCTGCTTGTAATGACTGGTAATTCCTCCTCTGACGCGCTCCCGCTGCTGCAAGCGGGGTCGGCGGATAATTGATATAGTCGAATATAATATATAATACCCAAGCACTCCTGCTGAATTCTCTGCCTGGCAAGAGAAGCGCGCATTTGCGGGAGATGGCACGCAACGCTGCAACACGTGCGTGTCTTTAGCGTTGGTATGTCGTGCTGCCATACGAGCGCATCAACGCGTGCGGCGTTTGCGGCAGCGCATCCAGCAGGAGCGCGACCAAGCGATCATAGAGGAGGTCTGGCGAGAGATAGCAACAAAAACAAACCGCGCCTTGCAGAGCAAACCTTGTGTGACAAAGTTGCCGGGCAAAACGTGCAACCCCGCGTGCGTAAGTAATAGCAGGGAAGCAGCAGCAAGCGCGGCACGAGGCGCCGACGCCGGAAACGAGTCGGACGCACACCGCGGCGTGATCACATTCAACTACATCTGTCCTTTTTGTGACGTTGCCATCAGCAGCGGCGTGCGTTCCGGCATGGTCGATCACCGCCACGAGTGCGGACACCAGTTTCGCGTGCACGATGGGCGCGTCACTGCCAAGAAGCTGGCGTACCGGTGCCCGTTTTGCGACGGCATTGTAGCAAGCAGCATTATGACTGGGCGGATCAACCATGGGAGCGTGTGTGGCAACCGCTTTTACGTCAAGAGCGGCAAAGTCAGTGAAGGGACGCGACAACATGCGCACACATGCCCGCAGTGCCAAACTGTGGTGTGGTCGGCATGCGCCTCGGGGCGAATTCGCGCCCAGCACAAGACACCATCGGGGCGCCAGTGCCCACGGAGCAGCTGGAACAGCGAAGAAAAGAAATGAGCATAGGACTCATAGCACGGTGAAAACGGTGAAGCTTGCAAAATACTGCAAAAGCCGCTGGTAAAGGTGCTGCGAGGCATTTGGAAGGAGGCTACTGCCTAACGTCGCTTTCTGAAGCCACTAGAAAAGTTCTTGGAAAGCGCCTAGAAGCCTGCAAAATGGAGCAAAAGCTCCTGGGAAGGGCGCTGCGGGACATTTGGAGGGAGGCTACTGCCTAACGTCGCTTTCTGAAGCCACTAGAAAAGTTCTTGGAAAGCGCCTAGAAGCCTGCAAAATGGAGCAAAAGCTCCTGGGAAGGGCGCTGCGGGACATTTGAAGGGAGGCTACTGCCTAACGTCGCTTTCTGAAGCCACTAGAAAAGTTCTTGGAAAGCGCTTAGAAGCCTGCAAAATGGAGCAAAAGCTCCTAAGAAGGGCGCTGCGGGACATTTGAAGGGAGGCTACTGCCTAACGTCGCTTTCTGAAGCCACTAGAAAAGTTCTTGGAAAGCGCCTAGAAGCCTGCAAAATGGAGCAAAAGCTCCTGGGAAGGGCGCTGCGGGACATTTGCAGGGAGGCTACTGCCTAACGTCGCTTTCTGAAGCCACTAGAAAAGTTCTTGGAAAGCGCCTAGAAGCCTGCAAAATGGAGCAAAAGCTCCTGGGAAGGGCGCTGCGGGCCATTTGAAGGGAGGCTACTGCCTAACGTCGCTTTCTGAAGCCACTAGAAAAGTTCTTGGAAAGCGCCTAGAAGCCTGCAAAATGGAGCAAAAGCTCCTGGGAAGGGCGTTGCAGGACATTTGGAGGGAGGCTACTGCCTAACGTCGCTTTCTGAAGCCACTAGAAAAGTTCTTGGAAAGCGCCTAGAAGCCTGCAAAATGGAGCAAAAGCTCCTGGGAAGGGTGCTGCGGGACATTTGAAGGGAGGCTACTGCCTAACGTCGCTTTCTGAAGCCACTAGAAAAGTTCTTGGAAAGCGCCTAGAAGCCTGCAAAATGGAGCAAAAGCTCCTGGGAAGGGCGCTGCGGGACAGGGAGGCTACTGCCTAACGTCGCTTTCTGAAGCCACTAGAAAAGTTCTTGGAAAGCGCCTAGAAGCCTGCAAAATGGAGCAAAAGCTCCTGGGAAGGGCGCTGCGGGACATTTGAAGGGAGGCTACTGCCTAACGTCGCTTTCTGAAGCCACGAGAAAAGTTCTTGGCAAGCTGCCCAGAAGCTTTTGCAAACATGGAGAAAAGCTACTCGGGAAGGCGCGACCTGCGGGACATTTGAAGGGAGGCGACGGCCTAACGTCGCTTTCTGAAGCCACTAGAAAAGTTCTTGGAAAGCGCTTAGAAGCCTGCAAAATGGAACAAAAGCTCCTGGGAAGGGCGCTGCGGGACATTTGAAGGGAGGCTACTGCCTGCCTAACGTCGCTTTCTGAAGCCACTAGAAAAGTTCTTGGAAAGCGCCTAGAAGCCTGCAAAATGGAGCAAAAGCTCCTGGGAAGGGCGCTGCGGGACATTTGGAGGGAGGCTACTGCCTACCGTCGCTTTCTGAAGCCACTAGAAAAGTTCTTGGAAAGCGCCTAGAAGCCTGCAAAATGGAGCAAAAGCTCCTGGGAAGGGCGCTGCGGGACATTTGAAGGGAGGCTACTGCCTAACGTCGCTTTCTGAAGCCACTAGAAAAGTTCTTGGAAAGCGCCTAGAAGCCTGCAAAATGGAGCAAAAGCTCCTGGGAAGGGCGCTGCGGGACATTTGAAGGGAGGCTACTGCCTAACGTCGCTTTCTGAAGCCACTAGAAAAGTTCTTGGAAAGCGCCTAGAAGCCTGCAAAATGGAGCAAAAGCTCCTGGGAAGGGCGCTGCGGGACATTTGAAGGGAGGCTACTGCCTAACGTCGCTTTCTGAAGCCACTAGAAAAGTTCTTGGAAAGCGCCTAGAAGCTTGCAAAATGGAGCAAAAGCTCCTGGGAAGGGCGCTGCGGGACATTTGAAGGGAGGCTACTGCCTAACGTCGCTTTCTGAAGCCACTAGAAAAGTTCTTGGAAAGCGCCTAGAAGCTTGCAAAATGGAGCAAAAGCTCCTGGGAAGGGCGCTGCGGGACATTTGAGGGAGGCTACTGCCTAACGTCGCTTTCTGAAGCCACTAGAAAAGTTCTTGGAAAGCGCCTAGAAGCCTGCAAAATGGAGCAAAAGCTCCTGGGAAGGGCGCTGCGGGACATTTGGAGGGAGGCTACTGCCTAACGTCGCTTTCTGAAGCCACTAGAAAAGTTCTTGGAAAGCGCCTAGAAGCCTGCAAAATGGAGCAAAAGCTCCTGGGAAGGGCGCTGCGGGACATTTGAAGGGAGGCTACTGCCTAACGTCGCTTTCTGAAGCCACTAGAAAAGTTCTTGGCAAGCGCCCAGAAGCTTGCAAAATGGAGCAAAAGCTCCTGGGAAGGGCGCTGCGGGACATTTGAAGGGAGGCTACTGCCTAACGTCGCTTTCTGAAGCCACTAGAAAAGTTCTTGGAAAGCGCCTAGAAGCCTGCAAAATGGAGCAAAAGCTCCTGGGAAGGGCGCTGCGGGACATTTGAAGGGAGGCTACTGCCTAACGTCGCTTTCTGAAGCCACGAGAAAAGTTCTTCTTGGAAAGCGCCCGGCAGGGCGACCTTACGCGTTTAATGCCCGCGCAGACGGCATTTCCCCCGCTTTGGGCAAGACCGCTCATGCGGCCCTCGGGGGTGGGTTTGCAAAGATCTTGAGCCAAAGACTACCACCATACGAACAATACACTGGCCGGTGGCCTTCAAACAATCGACGCAATCAGAATCCTGGAAAAGCTTTTTCTCGGGCGCGCTCCCCCTGCAGCTTGCTGGGGTCGGCGGATTACTCGGATAGTTTCTTTTCAAAAAGCATGACATCATTTAATGATATATGCAGAGTATTTGTGCAGCATCTCCAAAGCCACTGTGAAACCTATTTTGAGGTGCTACAGCTTGGGGGAACCGCCGTGCTCTGCCGGGTCCTGCCGAAAGTGAAGCCGCCTTGCACATACTCGTTGCTGAGCATCAGGGCACAAATTGCAGCCTTGAAGATGTCCATGGTGCTGCAGGCATCAGAAATGCTGGCGGATGCTTCCATTGTGCCTGCGTTTATTCGGATGTGTGGTGCCACCTTTGGACACGGATGTGCCATGGGCTTGCAGGTTTGGGATTTTGAAGAGGAACTTGGAGTAACATGATTTTGTTTCCACCCGCAGTAGCAAGCCTGAAGCTGTAGATGTAGTCAACAACTCCATATTCATATTCCTTCAGTTTTTTTTTCAAAGTGTCCACACGCATTCACACTCACACAGTCCTGAAGCCACAAAGATGAGGAACACATTTTGTAATTTGGAAGTTTTCTTGTTTGCTCCCTGCAGGTGACGCTTCCTGAGACGTTGGTTGTGGGCAAAGGTTGCTTTTTTGCGACAGGCAACATCCTGACCAGCGTGGATGTGGACCAGGGCAAGTTCAACGTGCCTTGCATCACCTACATGAGCCCCTCAGACGAGGGTTTAAGCGACTTTTTCTCCATTTTTTTCCGTAGTTTCATCACATTCACTTCAGCACACCAGCCTTTGCATATTTGGGAAGACTTCATCGGATCTTGCAAGTCTAAGGTGATCACACCTTCCTTGGAAATCACAACCACTTGCCGGAGGGTCTGCCCGAGGGCAGCTTCTGCGGTGTCGGTACTTGGCTTCCGAAGAGGCCCACTGAGCCCAACATGAGTTGCTTGGCGGATCAGCAAATGCACAAGTCCATGAGTGCGAATGGATGTGTGCAGACATGTTTTCTTTTCAGTGGACACAATCTCTTTCACAAATGTAGATCCATGCGAGTGACAAGTACACTCATTCCTAGTGGCAAGGCCCCGAACGTATCAATTATTGAGTTTATGTCTCTAAATCAAATCTTTATCTTCAAATCTGATGTAAATGGATACAATATATGCAAAATACATCAAAATACCATACACAAATATAGACAAGCAGTTGCTTTAGAATGGAACAAAAGGTACCCAGCCCAACCAAGGCTACTTTGGCAATCCTGCCATGAAGTTCCGTCGACTGAGCAATCAGGCTGCAGGCGTGGTGCGGGTAGAGATGGGAAAGCGAATTCGGGGGAAAAATGTCTGGACAGCGGAAGTTTCATGCAGTTTCAAGTAGGTGAATTTATGTGTGCTTGATGGACTTCAAAGCATTCTTCGACATGCATGTTTTTCCAAAAATCGGGTTTATTAGAGTGAAGGCTACGTGAATTTGCATCATTTTTACATGTTTTTGCATGTTTGTAAGCAGTCTTGGATGTCACCTCTTTGCCAGGCAAAGTGAATCAGGGTCCCGAACCTGCCAGCTGCTTGGCACGTTTCTGGCATCATTTTAGCACCAGCATCTTGGATGTCTTCCTCTACCGTGGTGTGCAAGGAAGTGTCACGGCTTGTGCCATGCTGACCAGCCGTCTCCTGTGTCCAATGATCACTGCCACTTGGGAGATTTTCGCACTGCTCTTGGTGTACATCGCATTTGCCCTGGTATCTTGGTACCTCTTCTCAGTTGTCCTGGGCAACCTGTTGTTCCATGGATCCACTCCCCACAGCAATGCGTACTACTCCACGACAGTCACACGTTGGTTCACAGCACTGACGGCCCAGCAACGAGTCTTCAAACTGCCGTTCCAAACGGCTGGCACCAGCTGGCAAGCTCCTGTCTTGCGACTACTTGGAGCACGTGTGGGCAAGCGCTTTTTCTGCATGAACGAGCTGGTGCTGGTGGATGCTCCGTTCACGGAAATCGGTGATGACGTGACCGTGGACTATGATGGACAGGTGAGATGTCATTCCTTCGAAGACTTTCGCTTGAAGTTCACCCACTACTCTGTAGGCAACCGGGTGACCATCATGTCAGGTGCCAGTGTGGCAATGTGTCATGCTGGAGATGGTGCCGTGTTGCGTCCAGGAAGTCTCAGTTGGAAGGGTAGTAACTTGGAGCCTGGTACTGTGTATGAGGGTGCTCCTGCTGCAGCAGTGGATGATCTTGAGAGGGGTGTGGCTGGTGCTGGTCCTACCCTTCTGCAGGGCAAAGCCAAGCTGCCAGTGGTGAAGAAGTGAGATCAGAGTGAGAGAGTGAGATCAAGTTGGAGCATAGTCTGCATCTTCTTACTGTGTAAGAGCCACAAATTTGGTTTTAAATTTGGCATGCATGAACGACATCCTTTTTGAAGCTAGCTGGCACATTGTATAGGCACACTGACAGGCATTGCCAATTGCCAGGCTTCAATTTTGCTGAGTCAGAAGGACTCTACAGCGCCTTGTGCGTTCTCATCTCTTGTGGCATCAACGCCCTCGCAATCCCTTGTCAAGTTTGCTGAGCGTGGAAGCAACGATGCTTGAACAAATGGCGGAAAATGCAGCGGATGTTGAATCGAATGAGCCGAACTGAAAAGCAGATATAATCTAGAGATAAAACAGGATGAATAATTATGGTTTAAGTAAGTTAAAGTTCTAGCTTGAATCAAAGACGGATTTCATCACTACGTCCAGAGTCCCCGATCTAAAGAGACGTGCCGGGTGCACTTTTCGTACAAACGTGCCGGGTGCACTTTTCGTACAAACAGACACAGACACGTCAACAAAGGAAAGCTAGTGGAAAAAAACCCAATTTACTGTATATGAGAAAACAAGGAACAATAATATATAATATAATATAATATACAATATATTTAAGTCATGACGGGATATAGGGTTCTCACTAGTTGCTACGCCAACCTTTGGCTCAAGAACACCGCTGCTAAAATAGCGAGTTGCATATTCTCCGTTCATGGTAGCGGAGCGATACGCTCCAGGGTCTTAGCAATGGACCAACAACAAGCGGCACAGGTCCTCCAGTCGCTCCAGGAACTACAGACCGAGGTCAATCGACTAAGAGGCCGAGAAGCTGAACTGACAGCACAGGTCGCTTCTTTTGGTGCCGGTTCGGCTGCTTCAGCTGGACCTGGCAGTGCACTGGCACAGTTGGTGCAGTCACAAAAGGAGCTTGTGGACGCCCTTAGATCGAAAGAACAAGTCCGGTTGGTCGACAACAAGGGCCTTGGCAAGCCCGACAAGTTTGATGGGACAGCCGAAAGATTCTTGTCATGGAAAATCAAGACGTCCTCCTATCTTGCAAGTGTTCGCAAAGACATTCGTGAGATTCTGGTTTGGGCCGAAGATTGCGATCATGCAATCACTGCAGATGACATCGACAAGGCTTTTGGGAGTCAAGCAGATGCCATTGACCAGGTGTCGAACATCAGTGAATTGAGACGCGAGCTTTGGGACGCGCTGCTAATGCTGACAGAGCGTGAGCCCTTTGACATCGTGCTGAACACCGGGGAATGCGGCATCGAAAGCTGGAGAAAGCTCACGCGGAGGTACGACCCATCCACTGGTGGTCGCAAACGCGCTCTCCTCAATGCAATCTTGTCACCGGCTCGATCCAAGATGGAAGATTTGCCGTCCAACCTGGAGAAGCTTCTTGACAGCATCAGACTTTATGAACGTCGCAAAGACGCATCTGGCAACCGAACGATGTTGGCAGAAGACATCAAGATCAACGTGATTGAACGATTGGTGCCGGCAGAGCTCGAGCGTCATCTCGTTCTCAATCGAGATCGCTTCAAGACGTTCGAGTCCATGCTGTCCGAGATCCAGTCCTATGTGGAACATGCCACCGGCAACAAGATCAAGGTGGTGAATAGCCAGCCCTACGACGCACATGGCCGTGGGGACGATCCTATGGATGTCGGAAGCTTTGGAAAAGATGCGAAGGGAAAAGGTAAGGGCAAGAAGGGAGCTGGAGGAAAACCTGGAAAGGGAAATGCAACAGCTGAGAAGAGAACATGTCACAACTGCGGACGCCCAGGACATCTGCGGGCAGATTGCTGGGCACCTGGAGGCCCCAAACATAAGGGGACGGGTGGCAAAGGCAACAGCAATCAGAATAAGGACAAGGGCAAGGGCAAAGGCAGCCCCGGAAAGCACAAGCAGAAGCCCAAAGGAGGCAAATCTGTGAACAATGTCGAACAAGGTGAACCAGAAGCAGAAGACTGGGACGCAGCTGATGGCGACGATGGTCAACAAGCAGCAAATGGTTTAACGCTCTATGGCGTTGATGGGCCACCACATGACGAGGATGACGACGAAAGTTTCCAGGTCGATCCCGAGTCCGAGGAGTCGGAAGCCTCGACAAGTCGCAGAAGGTGGTTTTCTTTGCCTCACCCACGTGCGTCATGGCCTGAAGAGTGGGACGACCCCGACTATGATGGACCGAGTGGATCGAGTGGCTCAAGACCCCTTCGGTCGCTTCGACTGGAGGAGGTCACCGAGCACGAGACCACTACATCCAAGTCCGCGTCTTCCAAGGCACCTCGAACGCCACAGGGAAGACCCAAGAGGGGCAGAAGTCCAAAGAGCTCAACACCAAAGAGAGGCAAAGCAAGCAGATCAGGGCCAGTCACTCCGGAGTCAGCACTCCGACGCTTTCGAATGACTTCGATGACACCACCACCAAGGAGAAGGTTGAGGCATGGGCCACAGACTCCAGAAGAACTTCTTCGTAGCTCTACACCTTTGCCAAAGACACCACCGACACCTATAGCATGGCCTGCATCACCTCCACAACAGCCGATAGCCTCGCCCAAGACTCCACCAGGACCACCACCAGGATGGCAAAGCCAAGTAGCTTCACCCAAGACTCCGCCATGTCCACCACCGGGATGGCAAAGCTCTCAGGTGAAGCCACACCACCTGTCAAGGCATCATCGGCAGCTTCGACTTCAGGTTCTCGACTTGTCCAGATGCTGAAGGCTGCGCTGAGTTCACAAATCCGCAAAGTCCAAGAAGAAGATCCTGGTTCAGGAGATGGCCAGGCAGATGCGATGTTAGCGGCTTTGAGGACTAGATCTGTCAAGGCACCGCACATCACAAAGCAGAACATCAGCGATCCTTCTTTCCACGACTCGAGATACCATGCCGAGATTGCCAAAGGTGTTGCACACAATGTGGCCTGGAGAAATGAACGTTTGAGAAGACGTGCAATCGTCCACCGACGAGGAGGAGTCAAGGCACGTGCGGCTGAAAGGATTCGACTTGACAAAGAATGGCATGAACGCTTTGACAACCCAGAAAATCCAGAAGGCATAGTGGGAATCGAGGATGAAGACAACTTGGATGCGGGCATCGAGACGGTGGTTGTGGGCAAAGCTGGTCAGAGCACAGTGATAGAGTTTTCAGCGGAAGAGCGGAAAACCTTGAGGCAGTTCCCGGACGACGAGGCCAAGTTGCTGCAGAAGGACCCCAAGAAGAAACCCATGACCAAGCGTGTTCGAAGCGTTGGGTACAGGGTGAAGAAGAATCGCAACCGCAATGTGGCGCGCAAGATGGCGAGGAAGAACCGACCAGCCTTGGTTCTGAAGGAAAACACTGAAGTGAACGCAGATGAAGATGATGATGAAATGGAAGAGGTCTACATCGAAGAGCCTGATGAGCCTCGAGACCGACCAGGCAGAGGAGACCCCGATGGTGGAGCTGGATCGGCTCCTGCTGCAGTCTACAGCTTGGGGGCCTCTGACGACTGGCGAAAATGGGAACGAGCAGAGTTGAACATCGACACCGGTGCTGCCATCACTGCAGTACCACTTGACTTCGCCAAGGACTACCCGAGGAGCGAGTCCAATGGAGCAAGCTACAAGGCAGCCAATGCGGAACCCATCGAAGATCAGGGAAGTGTGAAGCTGGTGGGATACGACGAATCTGGCAACAAGATCCCAATCGATTGCCGAGTTGCAGATGTGCATCGGCCACTTCTTTCAGGTTCCGAGATCGCCAAGAACTACCACATCGCCCTTGGACCATCTTCGGGGAGATTGATCCCAAGAAACACTCCTGCGGGACGGGCCTATTCGAAGGCCATGAAAGATCTGATCCGAGATTATGGCGATTCAATGCCCATTGTGCACAATCGCCGAGGCATCTATGTGTTGGACTATTGGGTGTCACCTTTTCAGGGGCATCCTCAAGAGGAGTAAGACCACAAATCAACGCTGTTGGCGAGGATCCAGCTGTTTCAGCCGGAGCCGATGCCATGGAAGATGGAGGCGATGTTTCAGCCGCTTCGGCCGGAGCAGGGTCCTCAGGCGATGTTCCAGCTGCTTCAGCCGGAGCAGATGCCTTTGAAGATGAAGTTGATTTGGAAATCGGTGAAGAACAGAGGAAAGCCATTGTGAAGAAAGAACCACATCAACCATCCCAAGCTGAAGTTGACGAACATGAAAGCACTGGACATGTTGTCCATCGGAGCTGGTGCTTGCACTGCAAAAGGGCACGTGTGACTGCTGATCGCCATGTGCCTAAGGAACTTGATGAGCCAGAAACGCAGTTGCCCACGCTGAGCCTGGACTACTTCTATATGAACCAGGACCAGGTTGCGGATGAGGCGACCCTTCCGAGCATTGTGGCGAAGTGCCACAAGACCAAGAGATTTTGGGCGAGCGTTCTCCCGGGAAAAGGGGCGGATGCGTTCGCAATCGCGTGGCTTGGGGGAGTTTTGGATGATGCTGGTTTTAATAAGGTAATCCTTAAGTCTGACGGTGAACCCTCCTTGGTATCCCTTAAACAGAAGGTTAAGGAGATAAAGACCCACATCGAAGTGCACTTGGTGGAAACCCCAGTAGAAGACCATCAAGCCAATGGGTTTATCGAAGTGGGAGTGCGAGAGATAAAACGACAATGTCGTGCTCTCCTCAGCGACCTGGAGTTCAAGCTGGAAAGGAAGGTAGATCCGGGCCATCCACTTTTGGTTTGGCTCCCGCGGCATGCTGCCTTTCTCTTGACGAGATACCGAGTAGGTACTGATGGAAAGACCGCTTTTGAGCGGACCTATGGACGAAAATGGCGGATTCCGCTTGTGAGGTTCGGTGAAAGCATCCTGTATAGGCCGAGGGCCAATCGTGGGGGCAAGAGAAATGACCTTGCTCCAAGGGTATCCATTGGGATGTACGTTGGAACTGGAAACAGAAATTCAGACGTCTTTGTCATGACGGAACGTGGAATCATGAAGGGGAACTCGATCCATCGACACCCACCTGACGATCAGTTCAAACATGATCAGTTTGACTCGCTACGTGGCCTTCCTTGGAGGTTGCAAGAACGAGAACATGGTGGACTGAGGATCGCCCTTCCCGATGTTGCAGCGCCTCGTGAAAGGCCTGCAGTGCAAGAAGTGATCCCAAGGAACCTCTATGTCACCAAGAATGACTTGGAAAAGCATGGGCACACACCTTTGTGTCCTGGATGTGAAGCAGCAATACTTGAGATGCCAAGCCGAGCTCACAATGCTGAGTGCAGACAAAGAATCCAGATCGA